AGGCCTCAACATGAAATAATAGCAGACACACAGGTAATCTGGTATTGTACATTCACCATATGGTAATAGGATTATAGTGTAAATAGGGTTAAATGCAGACGATTAATGAAAACATAGTCTGTATAAATATACTGTAATGTCAGCAAGTCTCATCAGAAAAAATGTAATTGTTGCTAGATTATCATTCTAGCAACAATCCACTGTGAGTGTGACAGTCATAAAGAGGAAGGATGTGCTCTCTGCCTGGTTAATGAAGTGTGATATGGCAGCCCAGATCTGTGGGGAGGCTCACACTTCCTCTGTGCATGACAGGGCAGAACAGTGGGGCGTGTGACCAGCTGACCCTCTGCAGGCCCGACGTGCCACAGGACCCATCTGCTCAGCCTGCTGTCCTGCCCACTATCCACGCCACAGACCATAACCCTGTTTCACAAAGAGCCACTGCTATGGTCAGCCCTCTGCCTCCTCCACCCACATCCCCAACCACCCGTTAAACACAGAGCCACCGCTATGGTCAGCCCTCCACCCTCCTCCACCTACTACCCCACCCACCTCTTATTATCACACCATCACTCTCCTCCTGTACTCATCCCTCCATCTTTTCACCTCCTAAAGCTGTTCTGAATGTACAGGTTGCAGATATTTGGTAATAACAGGCTAATAACACCCTCAATCGCTCTAACTCCATCCAACTCATTACTGGGTTGCTGACCATTTTATCACCGGTAGATTAACTACTTAATGTGCTTAAAAATGAGAGGGGATCGATATCAGTTTCAACAGGTCTTATCATACAGTGGGGGGAAAAAGTATTTAGTCAGCCACCAATTGTGCAAGTTCTCCCACTTAAAAAGATGAGAGAGGCCTGTAATTTTCATCATAGGTACACGTCAACTATGACAGACAAAATGAGGAAAAAAAATCCAGAAAATCCCATTGTAGGATTTTTAATGAATTTATTTGCAAATTATGGTGGAAAATAAGTATTTGGTCAATAACAAAAGTTTCTCAATATTTTGTTATATACCCTTTGTTGGCAATGACACAGGTCAAACGTTTTCTGTAAGTCTTCACAAGGTTTTCACACACTGTTGCTGGTATTTTGGCCCATTCCTCCATGCAGATCTCCTCTAGAGCAGTGATGTTTTGGGGCTGTCGCTGGGCAACACAGACTTTCAACTCCCTCCAAAGATTTTCTATGGGTTTGAGATCTGGAGACTGGCTAGGCCACTCCAGGACCTTGAAATGCTTCTTACGAAGCCACTCCTTCGTTGCCCGGGCGGTGTGTTTGGGATCATTGTCATGCTGAAAGACCCAGCCACGTTTCAGCTTCAATGCCCTTGCTGATGGAAGGAGGTTTTCACTCAAAATCTCACGATACATGGCCCCATTCATTATTTCCTTTACACGGATCAGTCGTCCTGGTCCCTTTGCAGAAAAACAGCCCCAAAGCATGATGTTTCCACCCCCATGTTTCACAGTAGGTATGATGTTCTTTGGATGCAACTCAGCATTCTTTGTCCTCCAAACACGACGAGTTGAGTTTTTACCAAAAAGTTCTATTTTGGTTTCATCTGACCATATGACATTCTCCCAATCCTCTTCTGGATCATCCAAATGCACTCTAGCAAACTTCAGACGGGACTGGACATGTACTGCCTTAAGCAGGGGGACACGTCTGGCACTGCAGGATTTGAGTCCCTGGCGGCGTAGTGTGTTACTGATGGTAGGCTTTGTTACTTTGGTACCTGGTCTCTGCAGGTCATTCACTAGGTCCCCCCGTGTGGTTCTGGGATTTTTGCTCACCGTTCTTGTGATCATTTTGACCCCACGGGGTGAGATCTTGCGTGGAGCCCCAGATCGAGGGAGATTATCAGTGGTCTTGTATGTCTTCCATTTCCTAATAATTGCTCCCACAGTTGATTTCTTCAAACCAAGCTGCTTACCTATTACAGATTCAGTCTTCCCAGCCTGGTGCAAGTCTACAATTTTGTTTCTGGTGTCCTTTGACAGCTCTTTGGTCTTGGCCATAGTGGAGTTTGGAGTGTGACTGTTTGAGGTTGTGGACAGGTGTCTTTTATACTGATAACAAGTTCAAACAGGTGCCATTAATACAGGTAACGAGTGGAGGACAGAGGAGCCTCTTAAAGAAGAAGTGACAGGTATGTGAGAGCCAGAAATCTTGCTTGTTTGTAGGTGACCAAATACTTATTTTCCACCATAATTTGCAAATAAATTCATTAAAAATCCTACAATGTGATTTTCTGGATTTTTTTTCTCAATTTGTCTGTCATAGTTGACGTGTACCTATGATGAAAATTACAGGCCTCTCTCATCTTTTTAAGTGGGAGAACTTGCACAATTGGTGGCTGACTAAATACTTTTTTCGCCCACTGTATCACAGTGAAGAAGATTGAGATTAGTATCTTTGTGTGTTCAAAATAAGATACTTTTGGTCAAAAATGTCAGGGTGTGAGTTTGAAGGGGAGAATGTGCTGGGTGCTGTTGTGTTTTTAAATGAGATTGTGCCTCACCTCAGCCCTATGGTCCCTCTATTCTCCTGTGTGTCTGTCTGTCTGTCTGGGGTCGATGGGGATGAGCTATCTGTGTGCTGATCGATTGCAAATGAGAGCCATTCTGAGGAACGCGCCGTCTGTCCACAGAGTGAGAGAGAGAGAGAGGGAGGGAGGGAAAATCAATGAGCTGTTTGAGTCTCCTCTCAATACATGTCACAGCCAGACCAATTCTAAGCTGCATAATGGGAGGTTGTGTGCATTTACAAATATGATTCTCAGATAACAGGTGGCAGGCAGCCTAGCGGTTAGAGCATTGGGCCAGTAACCAAAAGGTCGCTGGTTTGAATACCTGAGCTGACAAAGTGAAACATCTGTCAATGTGCCCTTGAGCAAGGCACTTAACCCTAATTTGCTTCAGGCGCGCCATACCACTAAGGCTGACCCTGTAAAACAACACATTTTACTGCACCTATTCAGTGTGACAATAAAACAAGTTTTTTGTTGTTCTATTTTTAGGATGCCAAATTGGTCAGGAGGTGACTCTATGTCAAAAACTAGAGTTGTGAATTCTGGAAATGAAGTAAGCTAATGAAAAAAGACATACACACAATTTATTTGTGGCAGGTTGTTGGTTGAGTTGGAAGATACTATCTTTACTTTTACACTAACCCAGAAATGGAGTGCAATTATTGTAACCATAAGGACAATTGGAGCATGGAGGTGTCCTCATAGACAATTGGGAAGGGGGACCTCGTATAACCATGCAACTTGAACAGTATCAACCATCCAAGATAGGCCTAGCAATCTATGGCTCTGTCAGAGCTAATTAAACCCTTGATATATTTGACTTTGCTGCCATCTAAAATGAGCGAGAATACACTGTTTCCCATGTATTTGGCCAACAGGTTTGACCCTCTCAAAATGCTCAAGACATGAGGGTTGCAAATTTGACATCTCTACTAATGGTATATAACATGTTTTCCTCTGGCAGTTGGAAGTTATACATATTGGAAATAGTATGAAATGATGAGCTTTCATTGTATTTGAAATATTGCTTTATTTTTTTAAACATAATTTAGACCAAACCTCAAGCCTGCAAAAAAAACATGAGTTTTTAGAATTTCCATCGTAGCTTGGTTCTCCATGTTCACAAGCGCCCCGCAATTGTTTAGAGCACTGACAGCTCATGAGACAGTTATGTAGGCCTACAGCTGATTTCTTAGGTAACATTTCTTCTGAATGTGCATCATATAAGAGTAATATTCAGCAGTCACGCTGTGACGCTGCGGGGGGCGTGCGGTGTAGACTTAAGCGTGCTGTCATTTGCTGTTACATAATGGAGAACTTTGGCCAGGTGTGCTTGAGAACTGTAGTAATATAAAGCGGGTCAAATGAGGAAGTGCCGTGTGCTATGAATACAGTCTACAGCAGACCCAAAACATGTCTTCCCAAGACTACGACTGCATAGTGATAGGAGCCGGGGTTCAGGGCTCTTTCACTGCCTATAACCTTGCGAAAAAGAACAAGAAAACCCTTCTACTTGAACAGGTTTGTAATTTATAAGGCAATTTGGCAACAGTTACAATGTGTCAACCAACCACAGAATTTATATGGTGTCAACTCCACTGCAACTACTTGTTGGTAGCCTACATCATCATAATTGCATGATTGACTGGGTTATTACAAATTATTTAGAAGTGAAAACGTTTTTCTTTGTAGTGTTATATTCTTGCACTTTGAACTGGCCTACTGTAGGCCTAGCTGTAGTTTCAGCATGTTTCAAACTTCCATGTGAACATGCAGGGCCGGTTATAGGCATAAGACTGCCTCATTTTTTATATATATTTTTTTTGGGGGGGGGGACAAAGTCGGTTTTCAACGTACTGTTGAGCGTTAGAATAGTAGAATACACAAGGTGCAATTTATCTTGTTATGTCAATCACTGACAATCACTCAATTAGCCCATGTCAGCAAAACATTTTTATATTGGTAAATTAGTCTAGCCAGCTATCTAAACTTGTAGTAATCATGTTCGAATTACCAACAGGGCACCCAGGGCACGTGCCAGGGGCCCTGACCTCCAGGGGGCCCTCATTGATTTTGTTAGGCACTCACTCAGATATCATGTTAACATGGAAAAATTGCAGAAAATGTGCTGTGAAACTGCAAAGGTTTCTCTCCATCCCATGGCAAAATGAGTAGAATTGTATGATTTATAAAATTGCTAAATCTTCACTCTACCCATGGCATAATGTGTAGAATTGCAGCAAACTTGCTTTAAAACGGCAACATTTTCTCTTTGCCCTATGATGTTGCGTATGGCCCCCAAAAGGCTAGGGAAAAAAGTCCTGTGAATATGAAAATGGCAACTCCAACTCTGTTTCTGAATGTCTTGTTCCTCAGTTTGTCCTGCCGCACTCTCGTGGCAGCTCTCATGGCCAGACGCATCATCCGTAAGGCCTATGAAGGGACTACTACACCAACATGATGTGCTATCAGCTCTGGTCTCACCTGGAGAAAGAAGCCAACGTCGAGCTTTACAGGTGAGTGGCATAAGCAAAAGTATAAGGTCTGTCTCAGTAGGGGGGATACAGCATTAATAGAACATTGTAAAAACCAGAACACTGAGATTTGTTACATTCAATGTGTTTCGCCAGTGTTCAAGCAGTAACTCAATCTGTGAGCTATAGATGGATGACTTTCTCATTACCTCGCACGTCACTGAATCACCCCAGACAGCTCCCTGTCTGCCTTTGAATGTGAAACAAGGATTTTCATCTCAATAAACCCCAATTCTCATTCCCAGAGCGAGGAGGGTTTGTTCTTGTAAATACTACAGCAGGATCAAAGTTAGAGCCAGACAGTCAGAGCCTTCAACCTCTACCTCCCCACCTAAAGCTTCCCTGAACCATTGTCTTAGTTTGAAACCCCTTTTGGTTATACTGTTAAATGACTGATGGATCAATCACCAGTCTCCTACCCCACCCATGTTATGTTCCCAAGGCTAGCACACAGTAGCTATAGCGCTCTCTCCCTCGGAGCAGCCATCCACGGCAGATGACTGATCGGTCCCCACACTAAGGCCACCTGTGCCCTTGGGCTGGATAAAACTGCAGCACAATGAGAAATGTTGAGGCTATGGCTGCGTGAATCTTTGTGAACAATGCTTTACGCCTCTGTCGTTTCTCAGCCCTGGGGACAGACTTTGAGTTGGTTGGACGATAGCCAAAAGCCCTTTGGCTACAGGCCATGCTGTGTAGTGGTATAGCCACACACATACATTGCAACCAGCGAACCAGCGTCACTCAGTCATCACACAGCGTGACATGGGTGGCATGGAAGCATGCATCATGTTTAGGACCTTACATGCACTCGCACACACATGTGCAGACACACACACACACACATAAACACACGCGCACACCAGCAGGCCAGCCATCCATGCATCAACCAGACTGCTTCATTAGGGCCCCCTGTGTTTCATAACCTTTCACTCTGAGACCCTATCATTTACCACAGGCTGGGATTTTACAACATTAATTATTCTCAGTGTACTCGGTTTACAAACTGTTGTTGCATCAGATTGCTTTCATTAGATTAGATTGTAAGAGGCCATCTGTGACCTTATTTGCAGTATACTTACATGTATGGCAGTGGAGGCTGCTGAGGGGAGGACGGCTCATAATAATGTCTGGAATGGAGCAAATGGAATGGCATTAAACATATGGAAACCATGTGTTTGATGTATTTGATACCATTCCACCGATTCCGCTCCAGCCATTACCACGAGCCCGTCCTCCCAAGTTAAGGTGCCACCAACCTCCTTTATGTGTGGCAAGCTGTTGATTGATTGACAAGGCTTGCTGTATGTTGTAGATGTTAAGGTTCAAACCACTTGCAAATGTGACGACTGGCTTTGAACCCGGGTCTTCTATGTATCACACACAGGAGGTTGGTGGCACCTTAATTGGGGAGGACGGGCTCACAGTAATGGCTGGACTGGAATTAGTGGAATGGTTTCAAATACATCAACACATGGTTTCCATGTGTTTGATGCCATTCCATTAGCGCTGTTTCAGTCATTATTATGAGCCGTCCTCCCCTCAGCAGCCTCCTGTGGTATCACAAGACTATGTTAGCCTGCTGAGCTAAAAGCCATTAGCTCGGGAGGCTAACACACGTCTTCAGGTCTCAGACATGGTTATTCCTCATGTGAGCGTGGTTCTCTGAACCCCAATGATTTTAGCTTAGGGCTAGATTCAATCCATATTGCGGAAGATCCACGTTATAGCGCAATTGAAATGTAAAGGTAATTTCCGGGGGGAATTGGAGGGACGCCATGTGCGACTGACGTGTTTTCCGTTTGCTCCCGTGGTATTTTTAAAGTTTATGTGAATTTTGCAGCAAAACCGTATTTATTTTCATATATTATTTTGGTGATCCCTTCCCGTAAAAACCAAGACTACTTTACTTCCAAATATCAGCATGTCGACGAAACATAAGGCCAAAAGCATGACTTTGAGAAAACCCGGCCTACAAGACACACTCTCATCACCGCCCTCCCCTGAGCCTGACGACCCGGGGACTGATACTCTACCCGGGGGGGCGGCTTGGCCTGGCGGCGCTGAAGTGAACATTCTCGAGGCCATCAAACTACTACGCTCTGAGATAGTTGAAATGAAAACGGAGGTGGTTGCTACGATTGAGGCCCGAATAAAGGAGGTTTCTGATACTTTAAAAGCAGATCTAACCATCCTGCGGAACGAGACGGTGCCGGCAATCGCATCACTCAAAACAACAATGGAGTCGCACACTACAACGATTGCAGCACTGGAGACCTTCGCTACAAATGTCTCCGACTTAACTACATCCCTGGAGGCTGACGTGAAACGCCTAGCTGCGGACTTGAAAAAGGTGAAGGAGAGCTGTGTAAGTTTGGAGGGATTCTCTCGCCGCAATAACCTGAGACTTGTATCAGTCCCAGAGTCAGCGGAAATGCCTCGCGCCACGGATTTCGTTTCTGGGCTGCTGAAGGATGTTCTAACCTTGGATGAAAAGCCCCTGATTGATCGTGCCCACCGGTCGCTGCGCCCAAAGCCCCGGGATGGGGAGAGGCCCCGTGACATAATTCTTCGAGTGCACTTTTTCCATGAGAAGATGGAGATTCTCCGACGAGCCCGCAATACCACTCTGAGCTTTCAAGGACAGAGCTTCTCCATCTACCAGGACTACTCCCCCACTGTTTCCAGGCAGCGCGCAGCTTTCGGACAGGCCAAACGACTACTTCGGGACCATCCAGGTGTGAAGTACGGACTGCGATTCCCGGCCCGTTTATGGCTATCTCATGATGGTAAAGACTACACATTTGAATCTCCGGATGAGGCTCTCTCTCACATTCAACGTCACATCAAGAAGTCTTGAACTTGCTCATAGTTCAGCAACTGTTGCTAGCGAACTGTGGATAGTAAGTAACCCACCTGTGGTACAACTATGTTTAGCTACAACATGCTAATTTTGTATAGTTGGGGGGTTGGCGTACCCATTCAGGCTTATTTGATGTGATCTAATGTTTTGATCATCTAGTGTGCTTGCCTTACAAGCATTCAGTCATTTTAATCTCATTGTATTGCGGTTTTACTATACTCCTGTGTTTTCTAGGCTGTCTTGCTCACCTATTCAGTTTGTTTACATAGTGTCTCAGTGACTCAAAATATTCTTGGTTATTTGCTTACTGCATCCGTTTGCATTGACCCAGTAAACAGTAAATGCTTCCCGAGGCGACACGTTTTTTTGGGGTCTTCACTTAAATTTTAAGGCTCAGAGCGTCATTTATGCCCAGCAAGCGTTAAACGTTGCGCACACGTAGTTTTTTGGTCTTGGTTGTAAGCTGTCTCAGCATTCAACTAGACAACTATTATAATAATAATAATTATTATCATTTTTGATTGTCTTACTACGATTTCCTTACTTCAAATTAGGTTTTCGGCTGAGAGCCGTTACACATTCTATTTATTTTCTTTATTTTCTCTCTCAAATGCCTGTTATAAGACTGGGAATATAATTATATACATCTACAAGTGGTGCTTTTGTAATTTCGTCTGCACAAGGGATTCACCTTAATTTCTTTTATTTAAAAAATGATTATCTCTTTTTGCTGTTTGATCCACTAACAAAACACGACTTTAAAGAGCGGGACTGTGGGTTTAGGTTTAAGACCGCACTCTCACAGACATACTGTGCGAAGAGAACATGCTCTATTTAGGCTTGTACCTCGTTTGGGGAGGTACTGTCTGGGATGGGGGGAGGGGGTGGGGGGAGGGGTTGAATTGTTCAGTTCTAATGTTGTCATTCTGTCTTTTTTGTTTTTTTTTTCGGTACTTTTTCTCAACATCTACCACCGTACATTATTACTCTGAGACAAGTTATTCTGGGGTTTCTGGGCGCTCATTGCTTTTCCATTCTATGCTCTAATGACGGGGTTGTATAACGGGAATGCCCAGAGGGGCCGAAACAATGCGATCAAATACATTTCGTGGAACACCAAAGGGGTTAATAACCCAGTGAAACGTAAGAGGGTGTTGACACACTTAAAGGGTTTGAATGCAAATGTTGCATTTCTACAAGAGACTCACTTGAGGACTGGTGAGCACTTTAGGATGCGTAGGGACTGGGTTGGTCAAGTGTTCCACTCTAACTTTCATAGTAAATCAAGAGGGGCTGCCATTTTGGTTGATAAAGTCACTCCCTTTGTAGCTTCTGAGGTTATCGCTGATCCTAAGGGACGATACGTCATAGTAACCGGTAAACTGTTTTCTACCCCTCTTGTTTTGGCTAGTGTTTATGCTCCCAATTGGGATGACACAAGTTTCATCTCTTCCTTTTTGTCTGCTATACCCAATTTAGATTCTCATTTATTGATTTTAGGGGGGGATTTCAACTGCAAAATGTCCCCAGTTCTTGACAAGTCCTCACGAACAACTACAGGCCCATCTAAATGTGCCCTACTTATTCAAGCCTTTCTTCAGAAATATGCCATGTTTGAGGCCTGGCGTTTCCTACATCCTACAGATAGACAGTATTCCTTTTATTCTCATGTTCATCAAACATACTCCCGGATTGATTACTTCTTTTTGGACAAAAAACTTTTGCCTAACCTTCGGCAGTGTACTTACAAGAGTATTGTTATTTCGGACCATTCACCATTAGTGCTTGAACTAGAGTTTCCCCAGCGACCTCCTATGTGTTATCAATGGCGTCTTAACCCCATTTTACTCTCAGATAAGGAGTTTGTCAATTTCATTTCTTCTGAAATCACCTTATTCCTAGAAACTAATTCAACACCAGGTATGTCCTGCTCTACCATATGGGAGTCTCTCAAAGCATATCTACGTGGCCAAATTATTTCTTATACAGCCAACCAAAACAGAGTTCGCTCTCAGCGACTTCGGGACCTGAGCGAATCCATAGCCACATTGGATGAGAAGTATGCCACGGTTCCTTCCTCTGATCTGCATAAAGAGCGCCAACTACTCCAATCTGAATTTGATGAGCTTTCTACCAGGCAAGCTGAACAGCTACTCTTGCGAGCTCGGTACAGAGTGTATGAACAAGGCGACAAGGCCAGTAAACTCCTTGCACATCAGATCCGTAAATCTGAGGCCTCACGTTTAATCCCACAAATAAGGACCCCGTCTGGTGCCACCACAGTTATACATAAAGAGATCAATGATCAATTCAAACAATTTTATTCTGCGCTATACACCTCTGAATCCCCTCAAGACCCTTTGCTGATTGATTCCTTCTTTAATGGCCTGAATATGCCTTCAATTGATACAGACACCCATGACTATCTAGATGAAGAATTTACACCTGAGGAGATTGCAACAGCAGTGTCCGCAATGAAAAGAGGTAAATCACCGGGTCCGGATGGTTTTCCAACCGAATTTTACAGGACGTTTTCTGGTCTGCTTTGCCCATTCTTGTCTCGACTATCTGCAGAGTGCCTTAATACCTCAAAGCTACCGCCTAGTCTTTATCAAGCTTCAATTTCATTACTATTAAAGAAAAACAAAGACCCTCTGGAATGTGGATCCTTTCGCCCAATCTCGCTTTTAAACTGTGATTACAAAATCCTAGCCAAGCTTTTAGCCATCCGTATGGAAGGCTCGCTGCATCAAGTAATACACTCTGACCAGACTGGCTTTGTGAGAAATAGGCATTTGTTTTTCAATATTAGGCGCCTTATGAATATACTGTACTCCCCTGCGTCGGAGGACCCAGAGGTGGTGGTCTCACTTGATGCAGAAAAAGCGTTTGACCGCGTTGAGTGGGATTACCTAACAGCCACCCTTTATAGATTTGGCTTTGGCCCCAAATTCATTGCGTGGATAAAGATTCTTTATTTTTCCCCCATGGCTTCGGTACGGACTAACAACTTGTCCTCTGACTATTTTCCCTTGCACCGCGGATCCAGACAGGGCTGTCCACTCTCCCCCTTGTTGTTTGCTTTGGCAATCGAACCTCTCGCCATTGCATTACGCTCTAATGATGCCATTCAAGGAATAATCCGGACGGGCTCAGAGCAGAAAGTCTCGCTATATGCGGATGACCTCCTTTTGTTTGTCTCTAACCCTGATACCTCATTGCCACGCGCCTTATCTGTTCTTAAAAGGTTTGGATCAATCTCAGGGTACAAGCTGAATCTAGGCAAGAGTGAGCTTTTTCCTGTAAACAAGGCTGCTTTAAAGTGCTCTTTTACAAGCTCTCAGTTTAGGATTGTCCGGGATCAATTCACCTACTTGGGAGTTAAAGTGACAAGGAAATATTCAAATCTGTTTCAGGAAAACTTGGTTGCTCTAGCAGACAGTTTGAAACAATCTTTTGCTTTTTGGAATGCGCTACCTCTTTCTCTTATCGGAAGGATTAATGTCATTAAAATGAGTGTGTTGCCCAAATTTCTATATTTATTTCAATGTCTACCCATTTTTATTCCAAAATCTTTTTTTATTTCACTGGATCAAACATTCATGCATTTTATTTGGGATGGCAAGGTACCACAATTGGTAAAAAACATTTACAGAAGCCTAAGTCATTGGGGGGTTTAGCTCTACCAAATTTTCAGACATACTATTGGGCGGCAAATTTCAGAGCCCTTCTGTACTGGCTGCAGACTGATACTACTGGCCCTAGACCAATCTGGGTCCAGATGGAGTCTGAATCGTGTAAACCTGCTGCACTTTCTTCTGTGTTGTGCTCGTCTCTCCCAGTGTCCCTAGGCAAAAGGTGTGTCAACCCAATTGTAAAGCAGTCTCTTAAAATTTGGAATCAGTTCCGCTTAGCCTTTGGCCTCCGAGGCTTTTCTCTATCAGGCCCAATCAACCAGAACATTTTATTTCCTCCATCTTTGAATGATGGGGCTTTTGACATCTGGCACCCACTAGGCCTCTCCTCACTAGCCCAATTATTCTTTGATGATACATTTGCCTCTTTTGCTCAGCTACAGGAAAGGTTCAACCTCCCCCAATCCCACTTTTTCCGCTATCTCCAGACTAGGAACTTTGTCAGAGCTAACACACCTGAATTTCCCCATAGGCCTGTGAATACAGCTATAGAGAGCATCCTGGAGCTGAACAAGCTTCCTAGGGGCGCAATTTCAGATGTATATGCAATCATTCATGACTTACAGAACCCTTCTTTGGTGCCTTTAAAGACTCGATGGGAAAAGGATTTGGGGGAGGAACTTGGGGAAGACACCTGGGAATCTGTGCTGCGCAGGGTGCATTCGTCCTCTTTTAGCACTAGACACAGCCTCATTCAATTCAAGGTGGTTCACCGTATCCACTGGTCTGGGGCCAGACTTGGAAGAATATTCTCTGATTTTGATCCTACCTGTGTCAGATGTAAAATTGAACTGGCCACACTGTTGCATATGTTCTGGGGCTGTCATAAACTGTCAGGTTTCTGGGAATTAATATTTAAATGTTTCTCTGATATATATAACACTGTTATAGATCCCTCTCCCCTTACAGCCCTTTTTGGAGTACTGCCCATAAGCACCCCCCTGTCAAGAATCCAGTCGGACACTGTTGCTTATACAACTCTTTTAGCTAGACGGCTAATACTACAGAACTGGAAGATGGCAGCTCCCCCATCTTATAAATATTGGGTGAGAGACGTGTTGTGCTCTCTGAAACTAGAAAAAATTTAATTCAATTCACGTGGGAACCCCAAACTGTTTAATGAGGCTTGGGCTCCATTCCGGTCTTACTTTAAACAGTCCATCCTCTGATAGCATTCCTATTAAAACCAAAATAAGTCTGTATTTGACCCCCCTGTGACTTAGGGGTTGGATGAGCATTTCTCTGTGTTTTTTTTCTGGGGTGGGGGTGGGGGGCATTAAGGTTGATGTGCTTATTGATTGTGACCTGCGGATGCCTTGTTCATCTCGCCCGAGCAGAGACTAAGGTGTGAGCTTGTTTTTCCCAGTTATTTTTATTTTTTTAATTCTGTTCACGCCTACATAAAATTATCAATATTCATTTTTTATTTTAAAGCATTGTAACTTTTTATTTTTGGTCCAGTGGATGATTGGTCTGTGGCCTTGAATGTCTGTGAGTGGTTGCATTTCTCCACCCCATCCCTTAACTGTTTGCAGGAACAATGGTGAGGTGTTTGCTCTGTATACTATAGATTGCCCTTTAACCTTTTGTAGCCTTCTGCCTGGTGTGTTTAACTTGTCTAAAGTATGGTATCTTTAAAGTTTTTTTTTTATTTTTATTTTTATTTTTTATATATGTATTATTTGTATTTTTGTCTAGTTGAGTATATTATTTATATTGCTTTGTCTTGTCTGTGTGTGTGTAAAACTTAATAAACAGAGTTCTCAAAAAAAAAAAAAGGTAATTTCCGGTTGAGCCGACATATGCAGTGTATACTGTGAATGCAGTCTCCGTAAACACGGAAACATTGCTTAAATTTTTTTATCATGCTATTGTGCAGATCTTCCGTGATACGGATTGAATCTCGGCCTTAGTTTATCTTTATTTCCACAAATGAAAACAGGACATTCACTGCATAATGATTAGGACCTCCTCTCCCAGATGTACAGGTCTGCTAGTCATGGGTCCAGAGCAGGGGGACTACCAGGTGTTCAAGTCCACCCTGGAGAGGAACAAGGTTCCCATAGTGATCCTGCCGAAGGAGGAGTTCAGCCAACACATCCCTCATGTTAACCTGCCCAGGGAAACGCAGCCCTGGTGGACACCACCGCCGGAGTGCTGTACGTTGACCGCACAATCAAAACGGTGCAGGTAAGATGCTGTATGCTGACCGCACACTCAAACCGGTACAGGCAAGATGCAGTACGCTGACCACACACTCAAAACGGTACAGGTAAGATGCTGTATGCTGACCGCACACTCAAACCGGTACAGGCAAGATGCAGTACGCTGACCACACACTCAAAACGGTACAGGTAAGATGCTGTATGCTGACGCACACTCAAAACTGTACAGGTAAGATGCTGTATGCTGACCGCACACTCAAAACTGTACAGGTAAAAGTGACAAACAGTTTGGTATGTATTGCTTACAAATCCGTAAAAGGCATTCTGGATTATGTTTGCATCCTAGAAGAGGTCGTTATTACAAGATGCTGTTAATTGATTGGCCTTGTACCTTTAACCCACATTGGCTCAGTGCTACTTCTAGGGTGTGATAAGAACTCCATAAAGTACAGCTTTCCCTTTCCTTTAGTGCTGTCCTGTTTATCCTTTACATTACCCCAATGAGTGTCGGACTCTGTAATGATCATTCATTAGTGTTTATCAGCAGCTAGGTAATTAGGCATTATGTATTGCCCACTAATTAGGAAATACATAATGGCTTGTACACACAATTTGGGAATACTGTATATGGCGTGAAGGAGACAGATAGACAAAGACAATATGAACTGAACAATGACATATAGCTCTCATATACCACATTTAATTTATATGCCTAGGTACACATACTGCAATGAGAAAAGTAGTATTTTTCGACAATGAAAACAATCTACACAATAACTTTTTATAGCATTGAATTCAGTTTATTCAGACATTGGCAAGGAGAAACTAAGCACTGGAGAGAAACAGCCTGAAAACACCAACTGAAACGCTTTATTATTTTACTGCTGTCTTGGAACAATTATCCTGTCTTGTATAGTATTGATTGAACAGATTTTTCCTCTCTTTTGTGCAGATCAAGCATAAGGCATACATTACAATTTGTCATTAGTTGTGATAATAGATGTTTCTACAGCCGCCAAGATTTCCACCATGCATTTTATTCTGTCTGAATGTCTAGTTTCATAACCTCCTATCAACATTATGTCTCACAATCTGCCAGCATCGATCATTTCTCCTTGATGTTTTGTGAAAGGGGGGTCTGTGTCTTTGAGAGTTTGCACATGTGCATAACCGTGAGTGTTTTTCCGCTATACGTGTGATTATGAACAAACTACTCTCACTTCAAGTCTGAAGCCAAGGTTTCTGACATATCAGTCATGTTAATGCCTCTAACTGGACTCTTATCATCAGCAGTAGTTCTGGGACTGACTGGTGTAGATGTCCAACTTGGCTCTCTGTCAGACCCAGCTGTTACCATGCCAGCCATTACTATGCGGAGACAGACAGACTACTCTTCTCTGACTGTATCGTTCTGAGCCTCCTTGACCTTGTACCTTTGTACACAGAGACTAGAACTCACCCATCACAATCAGCAGATAGGCTGTATCTCACAAGCTCAAAGAGGTTCGCAGGTCACTAACCTGCACTCTAATCTAGTAGATATTAAGACTGCTTCATTCCGGTTTCAGCTGCCCTGCCCCTTGGTTGGTTCTCTATTACCCTCCTAAACATCCACATTCCACTCCCTTCCTATTCAACTTTAACAAACCCTCGATGATGGAGAAGTTCACCTCAGGATTTGTTGTGCCTGGGATGCTTATATGGACCGTAAACTTCACTTGCACTTTCATTTATTTACACGTTACCTGCTTGATACTATTCCACTTTAGTTACTAAGGTTCCTCTGTGTCAGTTTGGTCTCATTAATTTTGAACACACCTTGCATACCTCACACTACAGTAACCATTCTCTCTCTCCATCACCAGGGACAGTTCCAAAAACTGGGGGTGTGATTAAGGACAGACAGAAGGTGACTGTCATCATACCGGGCTCTGTGGTAACCGTGACGACAGTCAGCGGGGTGTACAGAGCCTTCAGCTACCACTGCAGGTAGGCTACTCACTGTAGAATCAAATCAAATCAAATCAAATCAAATTTTATTGGTCACATGCGCCGAATACAACAGGTGCAGACATTACAGTGAAATGCTTACTTACAGCCCTTAACCAACAGTGCATTTATTTAAAAATAAAACAACAACAAAAAAAGTGTTGAGAAAAAAAGAGCAGAAGTAAAATAAAATAACAGAAGTAAAGAGCAGAAGTAAAATAAAATAACAGTAGGGAGGCTATATATACAGGGGGGTACCGGTGCAGAGTCAATGTGCGGGGGCACCGGCTAGTTGAGATAGTTGAAGTAATATGTACATGTGGGTAGAGTTAAAGTGACTATGCATAAATAATTAACAGAGTAGCAGCAGCGTAAAAAGGATGGGGTGGGGGGGCAGGGTAAATAGTCCGGGTAGCCATGATTAGCTGTTCAGGAGTCTTATGGCTTGGGGGTAAAAGCTGTTGAGAAGTCTTTTGGACCTAGACTTGGCACTCCGGTACCGCTTGCCGTGCGGTAGCAGGGAGAACAGTCTATGACTAGGGTGGCTGGAGTCTTTGACAATTTTGAGGGCCTTCCTCTGACACCGCCTGGTATAGAGGTCCTGGATGGCAGGAAGCTTGGCCCCAGTGATGTACTGGGCCGTACGCACTACCCTCTGTAGTGCCTTGCGGTCGGAGGCCAAGCAGTTGCCATACCAGGCGGTGATGCAACCAGTCAGGATGCTCTCGATGGTGCAGCTGTAGAATTTTTTGAGGATCTGAGGACCCATGCCAAATCTTTTCAGTCTCCTGAGGGGGAATAGGCTTTGTCGTGCCCTCTTCACGACTGTCTTGGTGTGTTTGGACCATGATAGTTCGTTGGTGATGTGGACACCAAGGAACTTGAAGCTCTCAACCTGTTCCACTACAGCCCCGTCGATGAGAATGGGGGCGTGCTCAGTCCTCTTTTTTTTCCTGTAGTCCACAATCATCTCCTTTGTCTTGGTCACGTTGAGGGAGAGGTTGTTGTCCTGGCACCACACGGCCAGGTCTCTGACCTCCTCCCTATAGGCTGTCTCATCGTTGTCGGTGATCAGGCCTACCACTGTTGTGTTGTCTGCAAACTTAATGATGGTGTTGGAGTCGTGCCTGGCCATGCAGTCATGGGTGAACAGAGAGTACAGGAGGGGACTGAGCACGCACCCCTGAGGGGCCCCCGTGTTGAGGATCAGTGTGGCAGATGTGTTGTTACCTACCCTTACCACCTGGGGGCGGCCCGTCAGGAAGTCCAGGATCCAGTTGCAGAGGGAGGTGTTTAGTCCCAGGATCCTTAGCTTAGAACCAGTCAACTCTAACATGAGCTTACACTCCAATGCACTCCAGTGGAATGCAGTCCACTGTTGTCACACCAGGCAGGCTATGATATGCTCCATATCTTTGATATGGTCAAACCGCACTGTCACTCATATTAACCACACTGTCACACATGTTATGCACTCAAATACAAATAGACAATATGCCACTTGCAATCAAGATTTACGGTGCATGTATTTGACAACACAAGATGTAATTGTATTTATTTATTTTTATTTCACCTTTATTTAACCAGGTAAGCCAGTTGAGAACAAGTTCTCATTTACAACTGCAACCTGGCCAAGATAAAGCAAAGCAGTGCGATAAAAACAACAACACAGAGTTACATATGGGGTAAAAAAACATAAAGTTAAAAAATACAACAGAAAATATATATACAGTGTGTGCAAATGTAGCAAGTTATGGAGGTAAGGCAATAAATAGGCTATAGTGCAAAATAATTACAATTAGTATTAACACTGGAATGCTAGATGTGCAAGAGATTATGTGCAAATAGAGATACTGGGGTGCAAAAGAGCAAAATAAATAACAATATAGGGATGAGGTAGTTGGGTGGGCTAATTTCAGATGGGCTGTGTACAGGTGCAGTGATCGGTAAGGTGCTCTGACAACTGATCCTTAAAGTTAGTGAGGGAGATAAGAGTCTCCAGCTTCAGAGATGTTTGCAATTCGTTCCAGTCATTGGCAGCAGAGAACTGGAAGGAAAGGCGGCCAAAGGAGGTGTTGGCTTTGGGGATGACCAGTGAGATATACCTGCTGGAGCGCAGACTACGGGTGGGTGCTGCTATGGTGACCAATGAGCTAAGATAAGGCGGGGATTTGCCTAGCAGTGATTTATAGATGGCCTGGAGCCAGTGGGTTTGACGATGAACATGTAGTGAGGACCAGCCAACAAGAGCGTACAGGTCACAGTGGTGGGTAGTGTATGGGGCTTTGGAGACAAAACGGATGGCACTGTGAAAGACTACATCCAATTTGCTGAGTAGAGTGTTGGAGGCTATTTTGTAAATGACATCGCTGAAGTCAAGGATCGGTAGGATAGTCAGTTTTACGAGGGCATGTTTGGCAGCATGAGTGAAGGAGGCTTTGTTGCGAAATAGGAAGCCGATTCTAGATTTAACTTTGGATTGGAGATTCTTAATGTGAGTCTGGAAGGAGAGTTTACAGTCTAACCAGACACCTAGGTATTTGTAGTTGTCCACATACTCTAGGTCAGACCCGTCGAGAGTAGTGATTCTAGTCGGGTGGGCGGGTGCCAGCAGTGTTCGATTGAAGAGCATGCATTTAGTTTTACTAGTGTTTAAGAGCAGTTGGAGGCTACTGAAGGAGTGTTGTATGGCATTGAAGCTCGTTTGGAGGTTTGTTAACACAGTGTCCAATGAAGGGCCAGATGTATACAAAATGGTGTCGTCTGCGTAGAGGTGGATCTGAGAGTCACCAGCAGCAAGAGCGACATCATTGATATACACAGAGAAAAGAGTCGGCCCAAGAATTGAACCCTGTGGCACCCCCATAGAGACTGCCATAGGTCCAGACAACAGGCCCTCCGATTTGACACATTGAACTCTATCTGAGAAGTAGTTGGTGAACCAGGCGAGGCAGTCATTTGAGAAACCAAGGCTATTTAGTCTGCCAATAAGAATGCGGTGGTTGACAGTCGAAAGCCTTGGCCAGGTCGATGAAGACGGCTGCACAGTACTGTCTATTATCGATCGCGGTTATAATATTGTTTAGGACCTTGAGCGTGGCTGAAGTGCACCCATGACCAGCTCGGAAACCAAAAGAAAGGTTTTAAAGAAAGGATTTAAAGCAGAAAGGATTTAAAGCTCTATTCCAGAGTTCAGCATGTTACCATAAAACCCTTACCCTTACCCCATCACATCATTAATGTTAGTAGAGAAGGGCAACATTTTGTCCAACCCCAGGTCAAAAAACAAGTCCAATCCCCCTAAATATAGCCTCCCTCCCCCAAGCTATAAGCAGGGAGCAATGACTCGCCATTGCTCTGGTTGGTTCACAGCAAACCAAGAGGGAGAGTCTGCAGCCCACTGCTGGCGGAACACTCAATCTACTATGAGGAATAAACAAATCAACCATTCCCAGACTATCTTTTACACAGGGTGGTAGGGACGGATCCTGCCAAGCAATCTCATAATATGTCACCCACCCAAATGAAAAGCTGATGAAAAAATACTGGGCGTTATTTAAGTTGAGAATTGGAGTTGGTATTGGAATTGCATTATTCAGGATTAGCGAGAGGGGCCCATGGTCTATCAAATTTTAAAAAGCCGGGGTTTAAAGGACCCTTTGGGACCAAAACCCCCGGGAAAAAGGGGGGCCCCCCCCCCCGGGGGTTTTGCGGGGGGGGGGGGGCCCCCGCCCCCGTTGGGGGGGGGCCCTCCCTTTCTGGGGGGCCCTTTCTCTCCCTTTTTCCTTTCCCCCTTCTCTATATTTTTTGGGGGGGGCCCCAAAAGGCCTGTTTGCCCGGGGCCCAAAACCCCCAAATTGGTCCCCCCCCCTCCCCCCCGCCGCGGTCGGGGGGGGGAAAAATTTTTCTTCTCTCTCTTCTCTCTTTACTCCCGCCCCTCATTCCTGTTACTCTTTCTTCTTCCTTTCTCCCCTTTCTTCCTCTCTTCTCTGCTCCCCTTCCCTCTCTCTTTCCTCCTTTTCTTTAACAAGGCTGGGGAAAAGTTACGTTGGAAAGGTGTCATTTTGTTAAAGCCCTGGTGCTAATTCCCAACGTTACGTCCCCGCTTGGGTTGATACCGATGGTAATGGTGTGAGTGTCACACTTCGCGGGTTCTCCTCCTCCTGGTTTCGTGTCGGCTTTGCGTCCGCTTTACAATCGGCTTTTCATCACTCCGGTCTGTTCCCCCCTGAAATATGTTTATTTAGGTTTGGCTCAAATCTCTCTCTGTCATTCTTCTTTATCTTTCTTCTCTTCTATTTTCTCTCTGTCCTCATCTTGTTATTCTCTGTTTGTGCCCCATTTCTTCTTTTCATTTCTTTCCTTTCGTTCGCCTTTCCTGGTTCTCTTTCTTCCCCGTCTATCTGCCTCTCTTTTCTCTCTCGTTGTCTCTCGTCTCTCAGAATGCTGTCTCCGAGAGTAGGTCTATCTATCCTCTCTCTCTCTCTCTCTTTCTTATCTCTCTCTCTATCTCTCTCTCTACCTCTATCTCTCTCGTCTCCTCGTCTAGATCTCTTCTATCTGCTCTCTCAGTCTCTTCTCTCGATCGTCTCTCTCTCAGGTTCTCTCTCTCTCGTCGTCTCTCTCTCTCTCTCTCTCTCTCTCTCTCTCTCTCTCTTATCTCGCTCTCTCTCTCTCTCTCTGTCTCTCTCTCTCTCTCTCTCTCTCTCTCTCTCTCTCTCTCTCTCTCTCTCTCTTTAAACTGAAAGCTAGCGAACATTGTATCCTTATTACCACATGCTGGGAAGATGTGATTTGTATGAGTGTGTATGCATTTAATTAAATCCCCATTCTAGCTTCCGCTACACCAACGCTACTGTTGCAGTTGGATTAGATACAACGATGGTAATGGGTAGCTAGAGTGTCACGACTTCCGCCGAGGCTGCCTCCCCTCCTTGTTCGGGCAGGTGTCGGCGTTCGGCGTCACCGGCTTACTAGCTACTGCCGATCCATTTATCATCACTCCGTTTGTCTTGTCTTCAATCACACACACCTGGTCCTTATCCCTCATTAGTCATTGTATAAGTGTTCTCTCTGCTTCCTTGTCTGTGTGGGTGATTGTTAATTGGGGAGGTCAGTGAAGCTCGATGGAGATCGTGTATTTTGTATAGACGGGAGATTTTCCAGTGTGCCCTGTATTTTCCAGTGCGCCTGTTTTGTGCCCTGGAGTGTGTTTGACGCATTTCTGCGTAAACCTGTATTTTGCGGATTAAAGCCTGTTATTCTGTGATTTACCCTCCTGCGCCTGACTCCTTCAACACCACCTCATCACATAGAGGGAGGTGAGGTGGAGGAGGGAGGGAAACATCTTCCCAAGTGCAAGGATCTTCTTTAATCAAATCCCTAATCAAACCCAGAATCATTTCTATGGAGGCCTATGCTTGGGCCCCACGTCCGTCCTGTCTGTCTGTCTATCTGTCTATCTGTCTATCTGTCTGTCTGTTGCTCCCCTGATTAACTAGGTGATAAAGATGAATGTGTGCTACTGGAGGGAAAAGGTCCCTGGCTCCTACAACGTCCAGCACCGCTTCCCCTGCTTCATCCAGCTGGAGTCAGAGGAGGCTAAGCATTACATCTACGGCCTCCCATCCAATGAATACCCAGGCCTGATGAAGGTTTGGGCTTTTAGATAACATAATGTTCCACACAGGATTCAGTGATGCATTTGCTTTAGGTCTCAAGCAAGGTTACTAAACACACAAGCATAGTTCACCAAACCACCTCCATTACACTGTTTCCTGGTCTTATTGTGTCGAATTTAAATAGAAATACATAAAACTTTTGCTGAGCTCAGAAGTAGGGCAGCAACACTGTCTGCTTCCAAAGTTCGCCAACACTTCCGGATACATAATCACAGCGGAATGTTGACTGTGTTGCGCTTCCATTTTTTATTCCATCTCTATTTTCAGCATGATGGCGAGTCAGCAGGAGTTGGGAGAGTAATAGCAGCACCCAACATGCAGGCAAAGGAGAGGGACAGATGGCTGTGCCACATCACATTATTCACTCTGTGGTGTAGTCAACAGTGCTTTGTAACCCATGTACTGTAGATAGATGGCTAATGCTCGTTACCTTTCAAAATAAAATGTTGCCACACTTAATTACCTTCCAAAATAAAATGTGGCCACACGTCATAGAACATTGTATTTACATTATATAGGCGTTATACTGTTCTGCCTACAGTCAATGTTCCTGGTAAGTGCACTTAGACTCTATGTAAACAAACTGTATTGAACTTAATTAAAGGTCAGTTGATGTTATTTTTGTTCTCTGTTTTCGAAGATTTGCTGCCACAAGGGCCCTGAGACGGACCCTGACGAGAGGGACAGACAGACAGAGAGGGGGAACATAGACATCCTACAGCGCTACATCATCCGCTGCTTCCCTGGCCTGGTGCCCATCCCTGCTGTGGTGGAGAGCTGCATGTACACAGTGAGTATTGCCAGTCTCAGAGAAGCATGTACACAGTGAGTATTAATACTCTGAGTTGCATGTACACAGTGAGTATTACCAATCTCAGAGCTGCATGTACACAGTGAGTATTACCAATCTCAGAGCTGCATGTACATCATGTTAACATCTCTGCTGCTTACTGTGTCCTAGTAATGGCCATATTAAATTGATCCACAATGGCAATTTACTCTGAATCAGTGTAACATCATCCTTTCAGTTAGGCTTAATTACAGTGTGGGAAAAAAAGTATTTGATCCCCTGCTGATTTTGTACGTTTGCCCACTGACAAATAAATGATCAGTCTATAATTTTAATGGTAGGTTTATTTGAACAGTGAGAGACAGATTAACAACAAAAAAATCATGTCAAAAATGTTATAAATTGATTGCATTTTAATGAGGGAAATAAGTATTTGACCCCCTCTCAATCAGAAAGATTTCTGGCTCCCAGATGTCTTTTATACAGGTAACGAGCTGAGATTAGGAGCACACTCTTAAAGGGAGTGCTCCTAATCTCAGCGTGTTACCTGTATAAAAGACACCTGTCCACAGAAGCAATCAATCAATCAGATTCCAAACTCTCCACCATGGCCAAGACCAAAGAGCTCTCCAAGGATGTCAGGGACAAGATTGTAGACCTACACAAGGCTGGAATGGGCTACAAGACCATCGGCAAGCAGCTTGGTAAGAAGGTGACAACAGTTGGTGCGATTATTCGCAAATGGAAGAAACACAAAATAACTGTCAATCTCCCTCGGCCTGGGGCTCCATGCAAGATCTCACCTCATGGAGTTGCAATGATCATGAGAACGGTGAGGAATCAGCCCAGAACTACACGGGAGGATCTTGTCAATGATCTCAAGGCAGCTGGGACCATAGTCACCAAGAAAACAATTGGTAACACACTACGCCGTGAAGGACTGAAATCCTGCAGCGCCCGCAAGGTCCCCCTGCTCAAGAAAGCACATATACAGGCCCGTCTGAAGTTTGCCAATGAACATCTGAATGATTCAGAGGAGAACTGGGTGAAAGTGTTGTGGTCAGATGAGACCAAAATGGAGCTCTTTGGCATCAACTCAACTCGCCATGTTTGGAGGAGGAGGAATGCTGCCTATGACCCCAAGAACACCATCCCCACCATCAAACATGGAGGTGGAAACATTATGCTTTGGGGGGGGGGGGGGATTTCTGCTAAGGGGACAACTTCACCGCATCAAAGGAACGATGGACGGGGCCATGTACCATCAAATCTTGGGTGAGAACCTCCTTCCCTCAGCCAGGGCATTGAAAATGGGTCGTGGATGGGTATTCCAGCATGACAATGACCCAAAACACACGGCCAAGGCAACAAAGGAGTGGCTCAAGAAGAAGCACATTAAGGTCCTGTTGTGGCCTAGCCAGTCTCCAGACCTTAATCCCATAGAAAATCTGTGGAGGGAGCTGAAGGTTCGAGTTGCTAAACGTCAGCCTCGAAACCTTAATGACTTGGAGAAGATCTGCAAAGAGGAGTGGGACAAAATCCCTCCTGAGATGTGTGCAAACCTGGTGGCCAACTACAAGAAACGTCTGACCTCTGTGATTGCCAACAAGGGTTTTGCCACCAGGTACTAAGTCATGTTTTGCAGAGGGGTCAAATACTTATTTCCCTCATTAAAATGCAAATCAATTTCTAACATTTTTGACATGCGTTTTTCTGGATTTTTTTTTTGTTATTCTGTCTCTCACTGTTCAAATAAACCTACCATTAAAATTATAGACTGATCATGTCTTTGTCAGTGGGCAAACGTACAAAATCAGCAGGGGATCAAATACTTAATTCCCTCACTGTATTTATAATCTAAAAAAAGCCTATTTTAATATTTGATCTTCCCACCAAGGCAAGGTATAGAATAGAAATGTGATGAGGGTGGTTCTGGAGTTGAAAACGCAGAGAGAGAACCATTGTCCTGTTTGCCATGCCCATCACATGCTGCATGACTGCATTACCTTTGGGATTAAAACACTAATGGAAAACATCACAGACACTGAATATCATTGGAAACCACATGTCATTCCTGTGCTGTAGTCAGAGTAGCTTACTGATTGGAGAATTATTAAAGCACAGTAAGGGAGAGTGGGGTAAGTTGAGCCATTCTTTATATTCAGCATCACTCCATCAAGGGAAATATAGTATTATTTGTAACAAAGATATCTGCATATATTTCAGGATGTTGTGTATCCCTGGAAATAATCAGAATTCATGTAAACATTACAGTTTTGAAAACATAGCTTGTCCAAAAAAAGTGGTCTCTTGGCAGAACTTACCCCGGGTATGGGGTAAGTTGAGACATGGGACAGGGTAAATTAAGCCACCTACACATTTATGTACTGAATGAAATATTACCAATACCTTTTTAAAACCATGTCTGTCTTTATTTTTCAAACACAATTCATCACAATCACATTTTGTCTTTTAATAATGTTAAGTATATTTTAACACAGCCTTAACACCTAACAAACACTTTGTACTTTTTACATAGGCCAAGCCCTGTTGTTACCTCATATCCCAGTGATAATGCCTTGCATTACGCCTGGGAAGAAAACGCTTCAATTTGCTCATCTTGCCATTGGCTCAACCATTGATTCAAGTTACCCCAAGGCAAACATTTTGACTATATTAGCCCACAGCTACAAGGATGCTTTATCTTGCTAGGTTTAGGACCTCATATTGAAGCTTATAGAGACCCTAACTGATGTATAGAACAATCTTTAAATTATCTACTTTGGTTTAGGGACAAGCATCATGAAACCTCTAAGAATAAATTCATTTGACTTGATGAAAATCTGTTTTTTGGACTTAATTTGCTCACCACTTTTTCCATGTGGTTTCTTCTTTCACACTCCATGAAATGACGACCTCTTCCTAAATATTAGGTCAAATTATTAATTTTGTGTATGTTTCCTAGAAACAAGGGTGGCTCAACTTACCCCTTTTGCTCATCTTACCCCACTCTCCACTACTGGATGTCATCTCCAATCCGCAAACAGATGGCAGCCAAAATGGACAGGATTTATTATTCTCAGATGAGTTTCTTTCACCAAGCTGCTGTTTCCCTCAATCTTTTTTCTCCCATTATCGCTCACTCCCTCCATCCCTATCCTATTACCACATTTAGCCTGAATCACCTCCCCCTCTCTTGTTCGCTCTCTCAATTCACCATCTCTTTCTGTTGCAGGTCACGCCAGACAACCATTTTGTCCTGGCCCACCATCCCACTCACAGTAACATCGTCATCGGAGCAGGCTTCTCAGGTGTGTACGTGCTGAACATGTGTATTGTCCTCTGAGCCTTTGTGGCCCAACATAACATGCCCCACAGCTCCACATCATACCCCAACATGGCTGCATCCATAGTGTCACTCACAACATACAGTATAACAGTGGGTGTGTGTGGATGAGCAAAGCCCAAAGAGTTTGGCTTTAAAAAGGTTTTTCACCACTGAGACCTGGCACACACTCAGGTCCAGAGTGGTGCTGAACATCACAGAGCCCTCTGAACCTACCTCAGCTCTGTGTGCTGTAGCTATGTCTTAGAGTGACATCTTACACAGGGGAAAGTCAGACAACTTTTAATTAGACAGTCTTTCAAGCCTGCTGTGAAAGGTGAAGAATTGAGCTTTGAGTCCAGACCCGTTTTATTCACTAATTAACGTTTGTGGTGCTCTCAGGGGCCCTCTCTCTCTCTCTCTCTCTCTGTCTGCTCTCTCTCTGTCTGTGTGAGAGGGAGAGCGAGAGGCAGGGTGGTGGTCCTCTCCTCTCCCTGTCCCAAAGGGCAGACGGCTGGGGTCTCCTGGCTCCTGTTCCATCTGCTCTGATAGCCGCCTCCTACAGTAATTATATGTGTAATTAATTTCCACTTGTAATAGCTTTTAAAGGACCTGGCTGGCACACAGTGCAGTTGGCTGGTGAGAGAGAGCGCTACTGTATAACAGGGAGGATTAACTCCACGGGTTAGAGAAAGACATTTGAGAAGCCACATAATCAATACAGGGACAAGTATGAATTAAATAAGTGTTTTGCTTCTGAACCCATTGGTCCCTTGGTGGTGGAATCTGGAAAAGTAACCATAATAGGATGAGGCCCATTGTGGTATGTTCAATCAGTGCACATGGCTGCTACTCCCCCCCCCCCCCCCCCTTGAGGTATCAAAGGCCATAGGCACAAGTGCTTTAAAGAAAGTCCTGGGGGTTGCCATGGTTACAAAGGCACCCAGTGGGTTTGGGCCTGCCATCGAGGGCCCCTCGCCTCTTCCTACGAAAAACGCATGTGGCGAACTGTCAGAGTGGCCTACAGTTTGTTCGCTATAGCCCCGGACACATAGCGCTGAGGCTTTTACGACTTCAAAGCCCGGGAGCTCTGAGACCTTTATCAAGCAGAGAGAAAACTAAAGCAAGGCATTCTTAAGCCCAATTGACATTGAGTTTTCCTTCCTCCCTCAGACCCATAGCAACAAGAAGAATACACCTCTCCTGAGTAGAGCGTCTGTTTCCTCATCTCACCCCTAGGCTGACAGCTCACGGCACGCTCATCGCTGAAAGGAGGGACAAATCTCCTTAATTTATCTCTGGCTTGAGCCCACTTAAATGAATAGATGCCCTGTGACGGTCAGAGCAATGGCTCCTGTCCCCTTTTATGTGCTCCGTCATGCAGGGCTCAAACAGGACCTGCCTCACTCACTGTGATTGGTTCTACCCCCAGGTCACGGGTTGAAGTTTGGCCCAATCGTTGGCAAGCTGCTGTGTGAACTGAGCCAGGGAGAAGTGCCCTCCTATGACCTCTCCCCCTTCAGAATCAGACGCTTCCAAGCCCACTCCAAGTCAGCACTGTAGGATCGGGATCACTGGCTATAACATTGAAGACTTGAATGTGCCAAACCACAAAGAATAATTGAATGAAGATAGCAATGGCCTTAACCATTTTCTCAGGAATCAGACCTTTACAAAATGAAGATATTGGAGGTTTTCATACCAGTGTGGCTGAAGCCTACACAAACAATGGCCGCTGGCAAATAAATACGTACTTTTCTAGCTAATCGTTGAGAAAAGTGACATAGGGACGAGAGCCTTGAAATGAGATGTGGAAACAAATCAATGATTCATTAAAGCTGATCTCTCACCTGCTGTGTTGTTAATACTGCTCTGTAAATCATACTCTCATAGCCTCTGCTTAGACCTGGGACCCATCCTGCATCATTTCAAACCAGACCAATAATAATAATAATAATAATAATTTATTACATTTGTAAAGCACTTTTCATTATACAAAAATAATCTCAAAGCGCACAAAATAAAATATCAAATAAAAAAATAGTTTAAAATAACAAAACAAATATACAGTATCTAACCACATCATGAAAGCAACAATCAAAGTCTAGGAGGACGGCCATAATGGGAGGCCACCTGATAGAGGTAAGTCTAAAGTCCAACTATAACATTGTTGGACGACTGTAAACGCATTAATCTGTGACAAATGGTATTCAACTTTAAAAATGGTACCCTTATTGGCTTGTATGATTTTATGCATCACTACCTCTCCCCTTCTCACTCCCCCGAGTGAGGCCTTTTTCAAGCGAAGCGCATAGTTAAAAAGACATCAGCCGTGGAACCATTTGTCTTTGCGCAGCCAGCTGTGTGCAGTGTGTGTGCAGTGTGCAGCCTTCAGTGGCTCGTGTGTGCCTCTGCCTGTACCTATTTCCCCATGTAAACATTTTAATCACTAATCAGCCAGCCTGTTACAATGGGTGCCAACCACAGCCATCAGCGGGAATGAGAAAATTATACAGCGAGACACAGAGAGATCAGCGCACCACTCAGTCCCTTGGCTCTAAGTGACTTTGAATTGATAGAGAATTAGAAGATCATTAAACATGCAAATGCAAATATTCACCCACTAATATCCAGGGGGAAAGGACACACTGGAACATCTATTTCATAACATGTCTGTATGGGATACGCTCTTAATAAGAAGAGTAACGTTTGAAAGTAGTGCCCTTTTTCTGCTTCTCAATAGCCAGCTTCATGGCTCTGGGTCCTAGCATCTTTTTTGTACAATTGACCTTGCCACACTTGCTGTGCCACAAATACAAGTTAATGTAATAAGTGTTGAACTATCCCTTTAAGCACTTGATTGTCAAAGGATAATGATGGTCTGTCAGTGGGCAATTAGACTTTACCCTCAGGTAATCAGACATAGGCCATGTTATAGTATAACACAGAAACCGTAGTCTGAGGGGAGACAAGCCACCATGAGGAACCAGAAGCTCACCCTTGTTGCTGCCGATATGACATGGAGAAACAGGAAGAAATGTAGCTCGGAGAATGATAGGAAACTCACACTGATAGCAGCTTTTTCCACATCACCACACTGCTAGAAGGTGGTAACACAGATAAACAAGACCTGTTTTAATGTTTTCTCCTCTCAGGAGGGTTATTTGTCCTATCTGCCAGGTAGGTTCAGAGGGCAAGAATGCTGCTCCTATCAGATTGAACACCTGCCATTAATTTGAAAAGATGTGCTTAAGGGTCTTAAGGTTTTCATCTCTGATTTGCATATACAAATATCTTTCTACCACTGCTTCAATGCCAATAGAGCAATGGCTGTTATTACTGTCAGCTTCCATGGAAGATAAAACAACTAACATAACACAGATTCCACTCAGTAGTTTTTTTCCTCTCATTTGTCTGTTCCCTCTCCATCTGCCCCCATCTGTGACAAGCCTTCTAAATAGTCCCAGATGTGTCAGAGTCTTAAGAATAAAAACAAACATGTGAGAGAGAGACAGAAAGCACAAAATGACTGTCAACTATGAGAGTGAGTGCTAGGTACAGTGCTGTGAAAAAGTATTTGCCACCTTTCTGATATTCTCTATTTTTACATATTTCTATACTGAATGTTATCAGATCTTCAACCAAAACCTAATATTAGATAAAGGGAACCTGAGTGAACAAATAAGACAATTACATACTTATTTAATTTATTTAATAAACAAAGTTATGAAAAACCCAGTGCCCCTGTGTGAAAAAGTAATTGCCCCCTCACACTCAATAACTGGTTGTGCCACCTTTAACTGCAATGACTCCAACCAAAAGCTTCCTGTGGTTGTTGATCAGTCTCTCACATAGCTGTGGAGGAATTTTGGCCCACTCTTCCATGCAGAACTGCTTTAACTCAGCGACATTTGTGGGTTTTCAAGCATGAACTGCTCGTTTCAGATCCTGCCACAACATCTAAATTGGGATTTGATCTGGACTTTGACTAGGCCATTCCAAAAGTTCAAATTTGTTGCTTTTCAGCCATTTTTATGTAGACTTGATTGTGTGTTTTGGACCACTGTCTTGCTGCATGACTGCAGCTGCGCTTCAGCTTAAGCTCATATATACGTATGGCCTGACATTCTCCTGTAGAATTATCTGATACAGAGCAGAATTCATGGTTTGTTCAATAATGGCAAGTCATCCAGGTCCTGAGGCAGCAAAGCATCCCCAAACCATCATACTACCACCACCATGCTTGACCATTGGTATTTGTATTTGCATTCATATTTATTATGGATCCCCATTAGCTGCTGCCTTCCAGGGTTCCAGCAAAATTAAGGCAGTTTATACAATTTAAAAAACATTACAATACATTCACAGATTTCACAACACACTGTGTGCCCTCAGGCCCCTACTCCACCAATACCACATATCTACAGTACAAAATCCATGTGTACGTGTGTGTGTATGCATGTGTCTGTGCCTATGTTTGTGTTGCTTCACAGTCCCCGCTGTTCCCTAAGGTGTATTTTTATCTGTTTTTTATATCAAATTTTACTGCTTGCATCAGTTACTTGATGTGGAATAGAGTTCCATGTAGTCATGGCTCTATGTAGTACTGTGTGCCTCCCATAGTCTGTTCTGGACTTGGGGACTGTGAAGAGACCTCTTGTGGCATGTCTTGTGGGGTATACATGGGTGTCCGAGCTGTGCGCCAGTAGTTCAAACAGACAGCTCGGTGTATTCAACATGTCAATACCTCTCACAAATACAAATAATGATGAAGTCAATCTCTCCTCTACTTTGAGTCGGGAGAGATTGACATGCATATTATTAATATTAGCTCTCTGTGTACATCCAACAGCCAGCCGTGCTGCCCTGTTCTGAGCCAATTGCAATTTTCCTAAGTCCCTTTTTGTGGCACCTGACCACACGACTGAACAGTAGTCCAGGTGCGACAAAACTAGGGCCTGTAGGACCTGCCTTGTTGATAGTGCTGTTAAGAAGGTAGAGCAGCGCTTTATTATGGACAGACTTCTCCCCATCTTAGCTACTGTTGTATCAATGTGTTTTGACCATGACAGTTTACAATCCAGGGTTACTCCAAGCAGTTTAGTCACCTCAACTTGCTCAATTTCCACATTATTTATTACAATATTTAGTTGAGGATTAGGGTTTAGTGAATGATTTGTCCCAAATACAATGCTTTTAGTTTTAGAAATATTTAGGACTAACTTATTCCTTGCCACCCACTCTGAAACTAACTGCAGCTCTTTGTTAAGTGTTGCAGTCATTTCAGTCGCTGTAGTAGCTGACATGTATAGTGTTGAGTCATCTGCATACATAGACACACTGGCTTTACTCAAAGCAAGTGGCATGTCATTAGTAAAGATTGAAAAAAGTAAGGGGCCTAGACAGCTTCCCTGGGGAATTCCTGATTCTACCTGGATTTTCTTGGAGAGGCTTCCAAAACATATGTGTTCTGTTAGACAGGTAACTCTTTATCCACAATATAGCAGGGGGTGTAAAGCTATAACACATACGTTTCTCCAGCCCCCACAATCTTTTTATCATCAATTTGTCTCAACCAATCATCAGTCATTTGTCTAAGTGCTTGTTGAATGTCCTTCCCTATAAGCATGCTGAAAGTTTGTTGTCAATTTGTTTACTGTAAAATAGCATTGTATCTGGTCAAACACAATTTTTTCCAAAAGTTTACTAAGGATTGGTAACAGGCTGATTGGTCAGATATTTGAGCCAGTAAAGGGGGCTTGACTATTCTTAGGTAACGGAATGACTTTTGCTTCCCTCCAAGCCTGGGGGCACACACTTTCTAGTAGGCTTAAATTGAAAATATGGCAAATAGGAGTGCCAATATCGTCCGCTATTATCCTCATCCTTTTCCATCCAAGCTGTCAGACCCCGGTGGCTTGTCATTGTTGATAGACAACAATACTTTTTTTTACCTCTTCCACACTCACTTCATGGAATTCAAAATTACAATGCTTGTCTTTCATAATTTGGTCAGATATACTTGGATGTGTAGTGTCAGCGTTTGATGCTGGCATGTCATGCCTGATATGAGGTTTTTATAGTGTTATGATGTCATGTCATAGTATCGTGGGGACCAGGTTAGAGTTAGTAGATAATTGGCTTGGTGCCACGGAGTCTACATTCCGTTATGTCAAAGGAGATTATTGATGTTTAGGATAGCATAATTGTTGGACAGGATATACTGACTTGGGGTAAAGAGTAATAACATCAAAGAATGGGAGTGCTCATTGACGATGGCCAGATGTGGTTGAAGAAATGTGTAACCAAAAGTATAAAAGATGTGAGATTTGTGTGTGTGGGCAGTTCAACTGACAATGGGTCAAGGCTATGTCCATTTGTTAGATGAACCCACGGGCTCGTGATCAAATAAATACTTGGTAAAATCTCCACAGAATGTCTAAGTAAATTCTTGCATCTTGAACTTCTCAATACCAGAAACTCATCATAACAATGCCTAAGTTTGCTCATCTTGCCAATGAAAAATGTATGAAAGTAGTTGGCAATATCAGTTGGTTTTGTGA